CTCCCAGTCACCAGTCTGGCTGCCGCTTTCTGGATTAGTTGTAGTTTCTGGGTCACCTTCAAAGGTAGCCCCACGTAGAGCGCATTGGAGTAGTCCAAGCGGGAGATAACCAGAGCATGCACCATTCTGGCGAGACAGTCTGCGGGCAGGTAGGGTCTCAGCCTGCGTACCAGATGGAGCTGGTAGGCAGTTGTACTTGACACAGAATTGACCTGTGCCTCTGTTCCCACCCGCCACTGACACACAGCCCCCAGAAAGCTGGAAATGTGGGCCTTGAGCTAAGAATAGTTCCTTCCCCCCTGCACTAACCTATCAGCAGAGACCCAAAGGGGACAAGGGGCGAATCCTGGCCAAGCCCACTAAGCAGGAGAAACAGGAAAAAGACCAAAGAAGACCCACCCTTCAGGGTCACCGGCAACGGGGGAGGTTTCCTTCCCAGCCACACATGCGGCAAATGTCGTGCCTTCTGTTCAGCACAAGGTTCGCCCACGGAGTCTCCCTAAAAGGAATTTCATGAGCACAAAAGACCTGCCAGGCATCCTGCCGCTTTCCGTGGAAGTCCTCACTGCCTAAGACGCCTCGCTGCCCAGGGAGCAACAACAAACGCTGCCCCCAACTCCAGAGAAGGACAAAGTGCACCGTCCCCAAAAGGCTGGCCAGGTTTACATTTTGCTACCTGAGACAGAACATCCCGCAAGCACCTCTCCTAGGGAGCAAAAAATGCCACAGAAGTAACCATGCCTGAGGCATCTGATTCAGTCTGGCCAATGACAGAGCCGGCCTTGCCAATGTCCTAGACTAGGTCAAGGTTACCTGCTTTATCTCCCTGAGGAACTTTGTTGTTTTCTTGTTGTGTTGTCATTTGGCAGATTTAATTGTTCTCTGTGGGGGTCTAACACTCAGCTCCCTTCCATGGGTAAAACACATAAAGCAAAATGGCTCTGTTCACATGTAAATTGCGGTGGCCCCTCTTTTGGGGTTGGTGATCAGGGATCTTAAACCCCAGGGTCTTAAAATCTGACCCCTGAGCCTATAAGCTAGCGCATTCTGTCAGCTCCCAGGGACCTGAATTCTCTTATGCCAGCCTGACTGGAGTAATGCTTCCTCTTCTGCCAGGGAGCAGTCCCATATGCCATGACCTGGTGCCAGGATGTTGGCTAAGACAGAACGATGCCAGAAGGCCAAAGAACATAAGAAAAGCCTGTTGGATCAGGTCCACACCAGCATCCTGTTCTCACAGTAGCCACCCAAAGGCCTGTGGGGAAACCCGCGAGGCCTGAGCAGAAGATCACTCTCCCCTCCTGTAGTTTCCAGCAATAGGTACAGTCATACCTCGGGTTACAGACACTTCAGGTTGCGTTTTTTCGGGTTACGGACCCGCCAAAACCCGGAAGTACCGGAACAAGTTACTTCTGGGTTTCAGCGCTTGCGCATGCGCAGAAGCACTAAATTGCGCTTTGTGCATGCGCAGAAGCGCCGAATCGCAACCCGTGCGTCTGCAGACATGGCGCTGCGGGTTGCAAAAATGCCTCCCATATGGACCACGTTCAAACCCAAGCATCCACTGTATTCAGAAGTATTACTGCCTCCAGGCGTCAAGGGCAGAGCATAGTCATCATGGTGAGTAGCCACTGACAGCCCTCTCTCCTCCATGAATTTGTCCAATCTTTTAAATTCACACAAATTGGTGAATTTGAATCCCTCCCGAGGGAGTGAGTTCCACAGAGTAACAATGCATTCTGAGAAGGTAAGAGCTTTGCTGCATCACATCAAAGGTCTATCTAGCCCAGAATCCTGACCCCATGGCAACCAACTAGATTCCTATGGAAAGAGCACGGCTGCAACATTGCTCTCCCATTCCTGTTAACTTATTGGCTCAGGGCACCTTCTTTGCAGCGTTAGAAACTCAGGATATATATAAGCTAGGCGCTGCACAGCATCTTAAACCTATGTAGGTTACGGTTGCCACAATGGAATGTCTGGGGCTGGACTAGATGGCCCTAGGGTTCCCTTCCAACACTACAATTCCACGATGCTATGATCTCGACAACATTGATGGGCTGTAGCTTACTCTGGCAATGGTTCACTTGTCCCAGAATGCAAGAAGGAGAATCACACACAGGGGGGACGGAATTGGTATTAACTTTGGACCAAGGCAGAGGTTTCCTAAACTGTGGTTGCTAGCCTGGCACCCAGAAAACTCTACATAGTCACAACCGGACTCGCACGTGGCGTTTGGTAAATTTTGAACACTGCCTCTTTGCCCCTGCCATCTGCTCGTGGGACATTCACCCACGTTCCCACGTTCTAATCTCTCTCCAGAGGTATTCCTTTTTTGTCCCAACTACCCAAAGAACCCAAAACGACCTGTGTTTCTCCCCCTTTATCTTCACGACAACCTAGCGAGGTGGGTTAGGCTGAGAGATGGGGGACAGACCCAGGAAGCTTTGCAGCCGAACAAGGATTTCAACCAGGGTCTTGCTGGCCCGGCTGCAACCCACTAACCACTACAACCCACCAACCATTAAGTGGAGATATCATGGGCAACCTGAGTTAATGATCTATGTTGAATCCTATCTCAGAACCTGAAAACGTTGGCCTGATTGACCATCTCCTTCTGTCCAGGTCTGTGACCCCATGGGCACCCGCCAGAGGGCTGTCATGTCCCCCTGCCTCAGGTTCCCAGTGCTGGCCTGAACATGGATCTGATTCGGATGACAAACATGTCAACCCACTGGAGGGGAGACCCTTCAGCAACAGCCCCTTCTACACTGATCAGGCCTGAAGATGTGGCTCTTGCATATGAAGATGATCACCATGCAGAATCTCTTGTGACTGAAAAATAGGCTACAGGCCCTTTAAATATTGCCAGTAGCTCTCTGGGGTCGGAGCAGGGGGGGGGCAGAGCTACTGGAAAGTCAAACCCTGCTGGCCTTTCAAAGCCTTCAGATGACCCTAAGCCTTCTGCTGAGACAACATCTCCCCAAGCTCAGCACGCAGCGCCCAGTGGGAGCTGTCCGTGGTCCTGATTTGCCTCGCCTTACCACACCCCTGGACAAGGCTCTGGTTATTGATTGCCCTTCTCCCTGTGGGCCCCAGTCCCCAGCAGAACAGGAGAGCTGCCATTTATTTCCCTCATCTGGGGAAGACTAGAAAGTCTTCCTGCCTCCAGATTCACCCCTGGCAAAGCTAGCCTTTTGCAGGGGAACAAAACCTAGCTGTTTAGGAATTATGGTCAGTACGCCTTTGATCCTTGCAAGGTGTTGAAGAGCGGAAAGGTAGCCAATCGATAGCAACTCTGAGAGGGAATAAGGGGCATTGGGCGGCAGGAGGGCTGGAAAGGAACAGATGGCGATGAGCCATCCCTAAATTTGTGTCGGTGACATCTCTCTCTCCCCCCCTCCCCTCCCCTCTCCCTCCTTCTTCCAGAAACATGCAGCCCCCAGCCGAGGTGGGATGGAGTGTGAGAAACAGAGATTTCACATCCAATGTGTTATCCCCTTTACTACCAGCAGCCAGACAGAAACGGGTTCATTAATAATTCCTCCCTTGCCCTGAGCATTCCATAAAAGCAGTGGTTTTGCAAAAAAAAGGGGGGGGGATGGAGAATGGTTTCTCCCTCTTCCACCCCCAGACTGCTTTGCAATATCAAGTCACCTCAGCAGCATCTCCCTGTCTGCTGAAATCTCAGGCTAGGGAACGGTCTCCTTCAACCCCACCCATTCCCTGATTTTCCACCCTACACAAATACTCTCTCCCTCCCCCTAGGATTCTACAATGGAAAGGGAAAAAGCAGGGGGGAATTGAGTGAGAGTAGGGGCGGGGGCACTCCAAAATACTGTCACTCTCTGCCATGAGACTGTCTGGCCTATTGGTCCTAAAACCACCTTTGCACAGATAGTCTGGAGTCCTGTGGATCTGCCTCAGAGAGAGGCCAGCCCTGTTAAAAGCAGCAACCAGACCCCTTTTTTTCTGCCCCTAGCCCTTAGGATGAGAGTTTTGCTTTGCTGTTCTTGAACGGAACCTTCCCTCCAGTGTTTCCAGAGCTCCCAAAGTTCAAAATAAAAATACATATATGCAAAAGGGGAACACACAACCCCTTTCCTGTCGGTCTGTAGTCCTCAAGTAATCGTTTGCTATAGGCTTTTCGATATCGAGGCCTTCTCATTGGAAATCTTCCTGAGGTGTGGGGAGAAAGCCCATCTTTAGGCCTGGTCCTCCCCAACAGGCCAGTGGGTTGTGGGAGGCTGTGCCATGACTGGGCCAATCCAGATGGCAGGTTTGTGCAGCTCCACACAAACAAGTGCATGTCTATTTACACGCCTTTCCTTTCATGTAGAAATCTAGCTGATCAGGAAGAAGGTGGAGCTTCATGCCTTCTCCTTGGCATGGCATGTACAGGGAACATATTTATCAAACGCAAGGTAATTTTTGGATGGAGGAGCCACCCCATCAAGCAAACTCGGCTTGCAGCCTTTGTGGAATTACAATCGAGATACAGGGACTCAGAAAGCTGCCTTACACTGGGTGAGACCTCCGACCATCTTCCTCAGTATTGTCTACACTGACTGGCAGCAGCCCCCCAGGATTTCAGGCAGGGGTCTCTCCCACCTGTCAATGTCACGGGCTGCACCTGAGACCTCTTGCATGCAAAGCAGATACACTATCCCTGAGCTGTGGCCCTTCCCCACCTCATAAGCTACATGTGAGAACTAGGCCAAACTGAGTGGTAGCTCAGTTGGTAGAGCATGAGACCCTTAATCTCAGGGTCGTGGGTTTGAACCCCACATTGGACAAAATATTCCTGCACTGCAGGGCATTGGACGAGATCATTCCCTTGGTTCCTTCCAACTCTAAAATGATTTGAAGATTCTAGCTCGGAAAACTCATTGACAGTGACCCACAGCAGCCGACTGACTTCCCAGACCCAAGAACAGCTGAGCCTTGCCAAGCCCAGTTGTACGTCCTACCTGCTCAGAACATCTCATGCCTTGGCCTACCTGGATGGGAGCAGTGCTGAAATGGATCTTGCGGTTGGGGGCAGCCTCCTCCTCTTCCGACAGCCCGGCGATCTCCATGCAGCTGGATTCCGGCGCGTACAGTCCATCGGCGTCTTCGTCTTCATCCAGCCCGCTCCCTCCCGAATCCTCCCCCAGCCCGCTGTAGGCACTGATGTCCACCAGGTCAGCCTCGGAGAAGTCCTCTCTCTTCGACTCGTCGCACAAGTCATTCTCCTCTGGCCCTTCCGCCTTGGCCCCTTCCTCGCCGAAAGCGTCCCCCAGAGGGTCTGGCGTCTCCAGGTGCCTCTCGCCACCCGGCCGGCCGTTCTCCAAGGCAGCGTGCACCGTGACCTCGGCCTGGATCACCTCTGCCCGGTTCGCCTCACCAAGGCCTTTGGAAGCGGCTTTGCTGCGCTCTTCGGCAATTGCCGCCGCCACGGCCACCTCGGCCGCCTCAAACTCCTGCTCCGAGTCCCCGCTCTCCTCCACTTCCACGGGCTTGATCTTGCGCACCTCCTGGACCTTCTGGGGACGCAGACCTCCCGCGTTGCCATCCCCCGGCTTCGCCGTTCCCCCTCCGCCGGCAGGAAGTTTGGCCTGGCTCTTGTCAGCCTCGGGCAGCCTGCCTCTCGCCTGGAGAGCAGTAGGCCCGTCGCTGCTACTACTACTACTACTTCTCCCTTCCGCTTTGGCCCCTTCTGGGGCCTGGAGGAAAACCCTGGGCCTCTTGGGGACGATCTTGGAGTTGAGGGGCCCGACTTTCCCAGGGGCCTTGTGGAGGTTGTTCCTCAAGTCGGCCTTCTCAAAGACGGCGCTGAGCTGGCTGACGGTGGGCGACACGGCCTCGGTGTCCAGCTTGTCCAAGGACTCTGTGCTGCCGTTGAACCTCACCACCACGTCCAGCTTCCTGTCCTGGAACCCGGCCCTCTCCTTCCTCAGCAGAAGCTTGTTGCTGGTCTCCTTCTCCTGCAGGCTCCTCTCAAAGATCTTCCTCGTCTCCTGCAGCTTGGAGAGCGGCTTGTCCGTCTTGGAGTCGAAGCGGCTCACCCTCTCGGACACGCTGGTGCCCAGCTTCAGAAGGGCGCTGTGGTCCACATTTTCGTTCAGGCTGCTGGCCCGGGGCAAGGACAGCCGCACGGGCTTCTCCTTCATCTTGGCCAGGTCCATGGCGCCCTCCCCGGCGGGGCCCGCCGTCCCCATCTGCAGGAACATGTTCTTGATCCGGTGGACGTTGGAGCCATACTTCTTGTTCCGGGCTTTCTTGGCCTCCTCGCTCTCGGCGTTGCCAAGGGCATCCTTGGTGGCTTTCAAGGCCTGGATGCCAGCTTCGTAGGCGTTCCGGTGAGGCGAGGCACTCCGTAGGCTCCCTCCTCCACTGCTGCCGCCGTTGTTGCCGCCGCTGCCACTGCTGCTGCTACTGCCACCAGGACTATTCTGGGGCTCAGTCTTCATCATGGTTCAGCGAATCTTCGGGTGTCCTGGACACCACATAGCCCCACGTTTGGTCCTCTTTCCACGCGCCCACCCTTCCTCCGATTCCCCCTGCGAGCTGCCTCTTCCCAGACGAGCTGCGGCAGCGGATTCACATCGCGAGAAACAAGGGATGGAGGGGAAGGGGGGGGAGCTAATGCACGCTTCTCCTTCTTCCTCCTACAACACGGCGTTCATTGTGTCAGGGAAATGTGGTCAGCGGGGGCGGAGGAGAGAACGTTTCCAAAAAGAGAGAGACTTCTTTTCCTTACCGATGGTTACAGGGAAGCGCGACCCTTCAGGCTCGGATCAGCTCAGGCCCACTGTTCCCGGCTGCTCGGATGCGTTACGCCTCCCCTTCATCCCTTTGCCTCCCTCTCTTCCTCTTCTTCTTCCTCCTCCTCCTCTTGTTTCTGGTCGCTCTCTCAGTCTTTGCAGCCCGATGGTGGTGGAGACCCGGCGCTTCTGCGAATGGCGCAGCCTGTCGCTCCTAAAAAAAATAAATTAAAAATATAATAATGATAAGGTTGGGGGAAGAGAGGAGGGGAGAAAGAGAAGGGAGGGGGGGCAAACCCAAGAGAAAATTCCCGCTGGGTCTTAAAGAGATCAGATTCTCACCCCTCTCTCTCGCGCCTTGTCCACCCCCCTTTTTTCTGCTGTGGCAGGAAAGGAAGCTAAACGGCAGCCAGCGACGCGCTCTTCTTCCTCCTCCCCCTGCGCGTCCGCGCCGCCCTCCACCCCCCTCGCCATTGAAAGAGAGAAAAACCCACTGAACTCATCCACCCCGTTGCAACAGGGAGGCAGGCAGGCACGGCCATCCTATCGCTTCCCCGCCCCCGCCCCGGCCGACGGATTATTAAAAGAAATAACAGCAAGCGATGCAATCCATCCCCTTCTTCCGCGCGTTTTTGCGCTAAAATGCGTAAAGCAACGCGCGCCCTGCACTTGCTCCGAAATAGGATCAAGCGCGGCCGGGGAGATTTGCCACCCTGATCCCTAGCGCGTAGTTGGGGACGTGTAACCCAGGGATCCGGCTGCAGATTGTTGGGGGGGGGGCGCGGGACAGATCCCTCGGAGAGGAGAGCGCGCCCCTGGATCTTTGGCGGTGTTGCAAAAGCCGCTGGAATGGAATGGGGACCTTTAGGAGGCCTAACTGGAAATGTCACAAAATTAGAAGGAAGCTGGCTCGCTATTGTTTGGTGAATTTTTAGCTGGCACTAATATAACGGTAGTGTTTGATCATGGGATTTTTTTTGGGGGGGGTTAATTCTAATGGGCCAACTCTTCTCCCCATTATTGCAAAGGATTGTAAAGATGCAACTGCTTAACTAGGTGCTTTTTTAAAAAAAAGAAAAAGCAAACAAAAATATAAATATATAATGTGGCTCAACTAGTGAGAAAATATGATTTGTACTGAGGACCTCCATTCATAAAACAGCTATTCTAAATAGCGTAAATGAAAACTTAGATTCTATGCAATGTCTTGAAAGGACCTGAAGCCCAGTTTTGGAAACTCCCATTTTTCAAGGCGCATTTTGCGACAGGGAATTTCATTAGTGCGAGCAGTTTCTGAGCACTGGACGTAGTACCACGCCTAAGATTTCAGATGAAAATTGCAGAGTGGAAGGAAAGGAGGACCTTTTTCTGCCTCCCCACTTCCATCTGCTCTCTGAAAACTAGAGAAGAGACCCTCTTAAGAATATTAGGAGGGTGGGCAGGGGAATGACCAGACCATATGAAAAATGAACATAACATTTTAGCTGCAGTTCATTCATTTTTAAGCTTTGTGTTCTTATATACGTATAAAAAAAGTGTGCCTAGACATTCCATTGTTGCGCCCATAACCCTAGGCTTAAGGTGCCATTTAGCTCCTAGCTTTCATATCTCAGTTTCTAACACTGCTGAAATTACCACCTCCTCTAACACAGTTTGCTATGTATTGTCCTACTCCAAAATAGGCCAATGTAGCTAGCTTGTTTGGACAGTGGCAAACTGAGCTGATCCCAGTTTTTAACTGCTGCATGTTTATCATGGACAATCCATTATCAAGAGCTTAGAATAGCAATGCTGATTGACAGCGCACTGTTTCTCAGCCGTTTTGCTTGTTCATTCTCACAACCCCCCTGTGAGGTAGGCTGTGGGCAGCTTAGGGCAGCAAGGGGGCTTGGCAGTACAGTGGGCTTTATTAAGGGACTACCACCCCCTGCAAAATGGCAAAAAACCAAAACCAAAAAACAAATCACCAAAAAAACCCCACACACAATGGAAAATTGTTTCTGCCACTGTGATTTTGGCTTTTGTGTAGTTTTTAATGCATATATATATAATTTTTGTCCAATGCTGTGGTAATAAATGTTTTTATGCAGTTGCAGCAAAGAAGTATTTTTTAAAAAGTATAAATAAATATGTTGAGCATTGACTGATAAATCTGAAATTGTTCACAGAATGGTGCCATGAAGGCAGCTTCAAGTGGCCTCTATATGGCGAGTGTTTCTTTTGAAATAGCCTCTAGTTACCTCATAGACAATTACCTTTTTCAGAAAAACAAACATACAAAAAGCAAACCCCATTATTGTATGCATGTGGTCTGGGCTGGATTGAGGTTTGATGAGTCCCTAAGCTACTGAAGGTAATGGGGCCCATTATATGTCCAGCTGTCCTTTGTCGACAACAAATTGTTGCTGTTTTTTGTGTTGAATATATGCTCTATGGTAATTTATGGACCTCATAGGTATCTAAAGCCATTTGCACACGTTGCCATGCAACTAGTCTATGCAGAATGTAGGCACCCTATATATAGAAAGGAGCAAACCAGTGATATTTTAGGGAGCAGGCTAGCAGGCGGGGCCCATTACTTACATCATAGGAGCCTACGCAACACAAAACACTGTTGCTGTATGTAGGTTTTATTTGATTTGTTTTTTTAATCTTATATTTTAGAAATGTACATCCAGTGCTTTCCCCCCTCTATTTTTTTGGGGGGGGGCAAGAGAGTAGGGCCCTAAGCTACAGCTTGTTTAGCTTATACGTAAATCTGGCACTGCATGTGGTCACGTAATATAAGATCTCTAGTGCTCACACAGTGCGTTCCAGTTACCTTGAGCAATTCCCGCTTGCCTGGGTGCGAACCACTCACGCCGTGTGCAAGTGTTGTGGCAGCTATCCCAGACTCCTTTGCAACAAGGGCAGCTGTGCATAGGTCCCTGCATATTGCTTCGCTGCCTCCATATTTTGCTCTGGGACATTTCTTCGGCTCCTAGAGAATTGTCCCAGCCTGGGCTGACTCTCAGAAGAACTGGCAGATCCAGCAGCAACTAGGTTTGGATTTCTATGCTCTGTCTTCCCTGCTGTAGCCTGATATTCTATACTGGCATAGATGCTTCCACACTAAACACAGCTCCAACGGACCGATGGGAGTATTTGAAGATGACTTATACTGAGTCAGACCGTTGGTCCATTTAGCTCAGTAGTGGCTGGCAGCAGCCCTCCAAGGTTTCAGGTAGCGCTACCTGGAGATGCCAGGGGGTTGAACCTAAGACCTTCTGTGTGCAAATCGGATGCTCAACCGCTGAGCTATGACTCCCACAGAGCCGTAGCTGGGTGATCTTGCGCCCCTGGCAGAACCATGCAGATTGTGCCCCTTTTTGTTGTTTAGTCATTTAGTCGTGTCCGACTCTTCGTGACCCCATGGACCAGAGCACGCCAGGCACTCCTGTCTTCCACTGCCTCCCACAGTTTGGTCAGATTCATGTTTGTAGCTTTGAGAACACTGTCCAACCATCTCGTCCTCTGTCGTCCCCTTCTCCTTGTGCCCTCCATCTTTCCCAACATCAGGGTCTTTTCCAGGGAGTCTTCTCTTCTCATGAGGTGGGCAAAGTATTGGAGCCTCAGCTTCAGGATCTGTCCTTCCAGTGAGCACTCAGGGTGGATTTCCTTCAGAATGGATAGGTTTGATCTTCTTGCAGTCCATGGGACTCTCAAGAGTCTCCTCCAGCACCAGAATTCAAAAGCATCAATTCTTTGGTGATCAGCCTTCTTTATGGTCCAGCTCTCACTTCCATACATCACTACTGGGAAAACCATAGCTTTAACTATACAGACCTTTGTCAGCAAGGTGATGTCTCTGCTTTTTAAGATGTTGTCTAGGTTTGTCATTGTGTTGTCTTTGTCCATGGAGTTTTCTTGGCAGGGATACTGAAGTGGCTTGCTGGTTCCTGCTCCAGGTGGATCATGTTTGGTCAAAACTCTCCACTATGACCTGTCCATCTTTGGTGGCCCTGCACGGCATAGCTCATAGCTTCTCTGAGTTATTCAAGCCCCTTCGCCACGGCAAGGCAGTGATCCATGAAGGGGATTGTGCCCCCTAGCCACAGCCAAATCTGCTCTTCTTTCCGTCTCTCCTCCACCCATTCAATTCACCCTCTGTTTAAAACCTTTTATAGACATATTTATGAACATATTTTAAGCCGATTTTGTGCCCCTTCCTCGCCTGTGCCCCTGGCGGGGCCCCACTTTGCCACCTCCTAGCTACAGCCTTCCTTCCCTACATTTGATGCTGAAAGCCTCTATTTTAATCTGGTGTGTGCTTTATGAATCACAATGCAGGAGAGAATGGGGAAGGCAGCACTTTTCAATTGAGTGCCTGATGTTTTAATTTAATTTAATTTTTCGGTTTATAAGTCACTTGCCACTTACGGTGCTTCCAAGCGACTTAGACAAATTTAAGAGCACAAAGCAGGCATAGGCAAACTCAGCCGTCCAGATGTTTTTGGGACTACAAGTCCCATCATCCCGAAAATTAAGAACAAAACCAAAGTCTCAGGACATCCTAAGAGAGATTAAGTTGTATCAAACACAATATATGGAATTGATGAACCAAGAGATTGAATGGAAGATAAAGCAAATGAAGCAAAAGACTTTTGAATCAGCAAATAAATGTGGCAAACTCTTGGCATGGCAACTGAAGAAAAGGCAGAAATTAAATACAGTTACAAGCCTAGAGGTGGATGGGAAAAATATATCTAAACCCAATGAAATCAGAAACTGCTTTCTAAGTTACTTCAAAAAACTTTACACTCAAGGCCCGCAAAATGAAGAAGACATAGATAAATTCCTTGGAAAATATGGATTACAAAGTATCTCTCACCAAAGTAAGATGGATTTGAGCCAGAGAATCTCAGAACAAGAGATAGAGGCTGCCATTCAGAATATGCAATTGGGCAAATCTCCAGGACCAGATGGACTGACTTCCGGATACTACAAATCGTTGAAGGAATGGTTGATTCAACCACTAAGAGAAGTTTGTAACGAGATCCTTGAGGGAAAAAAGGCACCTGAATCGTGGAAAGAAGCATATATTTCACTCATACCAAAATCAGAGACTGAAAAGACCCAACTCAAGAACTACCGCCCAATATCATTGCTTAATGTGGATTACAAAATTTTTGCAGACATTTTGGCAAAAAGATTTAAAAGAGTGTTG